AATGGTTCTATGAGATATAGTTAATGAGGTTTCTGTCTTTCACAACGGTATAACAATGGACCTGCAGTGTCTAATCGAGTTGGTCTTTTGAACTGACTGAGTCCAGTTTTGAATCCAGTATCATAGTATTTAAAATCCAAACTCAATTAAATTTTAATCAAAATTTATTGAAGCCTCCAAAAAATTGTCAAATTTTCGATCTTACAACAGCAAACCACCAGAGGCCGAAACAGATGGCAAGTGTGACACCTTCTTTTTGAAGTCATCCACCGAACAAGCGTAAGAATAACCAGTAGTGATATCCGTCCGCTTCCACTTGATATAATCGACTTGGTCCGCAATATCCGTGCAAAGTATATAGTCCTCCTTAATCTCAGCCAAGGTCAAATGCGGGTTATTCACACCAATGAAGACAATACCTTTCTTGGTGGTACGCTCAATCACAATACGGAAGTACAGCTTGGGCACAGGAATCAGCCCATTATTGTTACTATCATAGGCCAAGTACAATGGTGTCTGCACACCATTCGCATTGGGCAGTGTGGTCACACCGTAAACGCCGGTATAGCAATCCACGTACCAATTAGCAGACGAAACCTTAGCGCGCACCCCATCCTCTATGCGTGCCCAGTTGCCGGCATTGAAGACTTGCCATTGCGGCGCAGCGTTGATGAATAAGAAAGTCGCGCGCTGCTCGCTGGCATAGTCGAAGTCAGCTTTGGCAGCCATATGACCGCGTGCTAGATAAATATTCTTGTTGGAGTTAAAATATTGGCTAGCATCACCTCCCAATTGTGAGTTAATGGTTGCCTCCTGTGTAGTTTGTTTGTATAAATTGTCAACGTTTTTGCCATCGAAGAAACCAGCGGTTTGGAAAGTGATGCGATCTACGCCAGTTTGATAGTAGTTGCTGCCTGGATTGAGATCGTGATGCACATAACGTGTCACCTCTTCGTCTTCATCGAAGCAGACTTCGTACTGTTTGGCGAAACGGCTGGAGGAGATTTTGAAACCTACGCGCACCATAACGCCACCATTACATGAGGCGCCGGACTTTTCAGCTACAAAACCTGGCCAGGAATTGCAAGTCAGTTCCTTGAAGGAGTAAGTGGTGCCA